TTTGTTATGTAGTGTCTCAGGTGTGCTAAGTAAGCTTCTACCACTGAGCTACACCCCCAGTACTTTGTATTTTTTTATTTTGAGACAGAGTCTTGCGAAACTGCCCAGGCTCTCTATTCATGTTTTTATTTTTGTTAAAATTGTAATTTTGACAAGTTTCAGTAAATCTTCAGGGGGCCTGATTCCTGTGCTGCACCACACTACTTCATTGAGGAAGCAGCACTGGAAACCTAACCCTTACTTGGGATCTTTAGTGGGAGAGTGGATGTGTGTGCTGGAAGACAGCTGGGGCATGGCCCAGACCTTCAGCTCTTCAGATGCCCCTGACCATCTAATGTAATATATAAGAACCAAAAGAAAGGTTATTTCCAGAAAATGAGGAAAAGAGAACAAGAAAAGGCAGTGACCAAAGTCCTTCGTATGCAGTTGGACAAGCGTGGATACTGTCCCCATGCTGGTATTGGTATCACTAATATTTGACTGGCTCCCTGCGCAGGCCTGCTAAGAGCAGGCTGCGTTACCCTCTGGTTCCCCACTGAATGGTGACGGATACTGGTGTAGGCCGCACTTCGGGCAGCTGGGCTGCCATTTTGGAAGAAGGTGTCACTGTGCTGTGTGCTTCAGGCCACACACCTGAAGGGTGATCTCTGTGGTTTTGGGCCACTTATGTACTGGGTGAGGTGACTGCGCCCATGGGACTCAGCACATGTTTCCTCTGCATGATCATTTATTTTATTTCTTTTTTTTTTTTTTTTGGTTTTTCTCCAGTACCGGAAACCGAACTCACGATGATCATTCATTTTATTTCACCAGACCTATGAGTGTAAAACCCAGAGCTATCTGCAGCCAGCTAGGCAGGAGTGTTGTTTGTCATCACCTGAAACTCATGTCTTCCCTCTGTGTATTGTGAAAAGCCACACATGTCTCACTAAGCCATTCCTTGGAAACTATTATGCCAGTTCAGCCACGACAGTTTTGTGGAACATGACAGTGCAGCTGGAGGGCCTCACAGGGCTTTGTTTACTCAACTACCTGATGGAACAGAGGGCTCTGACAGCAATGCTTGGGGATTAATTGAGACATTATTTATTGCCTTTGTTACTTTTCCTCTTTGCTGAGATAAAACACCTGACACCTAGAATGAAGGAAGGAAAGGTTTATTTAGCTCACAGGTTGTGGAGATTTCAGTCCATACTTGGCTGGCTCCAAGGCAGAGTGGCACATGGCAGAGGGCAAACATTCACGGCAGCTGAAGACAGCAAAAGCAACAAGAGCAAAAGGGAGGAACAGTGGCAAGCAGCCTCTTTCCCTCCCTTACATTATATGCAAACAACCCACTGTAGGGCGGGTGTAGCTCTCACACTGATAATCCCAGCATTGGACCATGGGTCAATCATAAACTCTAGAAACCCACCCCATGCCTGCTTGAGGCTTTTGGGGGGAACATCCAGACATAGACCACAACATTTATGGTAGTACTTTGAAACTTTTGAAGCACCAGACAGCTGTTACTTTTTTTGGTACAGGGTGGTATGTGAAGTTGAGAGAAAAAGGGAATGTGTCCTGCCTGCAAAGTCTACAGGTATTACTTAGGGAGGTAACACACACACACACACACACACACACACACAGGTGTGTACATGACACACCTCTGCCTATCTCTGATGACTTAAAGTAGTGAAAAGGCAGCTTGGTAGGGAGAGTGATATCTGAGCTGGGATTTGAAAAGTTGCCTGTTGAGTAGCCAGTGTGGATGGGGGAGTAACTGAAGTGGGCTTTGAAGGGAGAAGAAGGAGTAAGGGAAAGTCACAGGTTTGGAGATCTGTCAGGCCTGTACAAGGCACAGTGGTCATTGAATTGAACTGGGGCATTGGTTTGGATTTATACTGTGGAGAGTGATGGAATGGGTGAGCAATGTTGAATCAAGGAAATGTCAGGATCAGAATGCAGTTTTAGTATGACTCATCTGGCAGCAGCTGAAATGGGTGGAATAAAGAAAGGCTCTCTTGAGTGGAAGATTACTAAGAACATACATTAAACACCTCATTTGTTTGCCTCTCAATTAGTACTTTAAAGAGTAAGTGAAGTAGAGGATGGAAAAGTGCATTTGGAAACATGAGTTAGGATGGTCCAGATCCCACCCTTCCCAGCTCCAAGGCAGCAGGGGACCTCTTGTCATGGTGCCTGTAAGACTGACTGTCACCAAAGCAAAGGTGAAGGCCTGCATAGCCCAGATGTGCACCATGCTTCCTGCAGTGCCCCTCTCTCTACTCTTGCTTTTCATTTTGATTTGGTTCTTGCCCCTGCCTGGCTTTTGACTTCCTTAACTTACTTCCATTCCTGGGCTGAAAATAGCCAATACTGGAGATAGATCTGTTTCTTTTCCTGGATTATCCTTGACTATTTCCAGGAAACTGTCCCCTTCCCAGACAGCTGGAGGAAACACTCCTTGAGAACACCTCATTGCCATTCCAGCAAAGCCCTAGTCCCAGGATGTCCTCCGGTGTAGCCAGGCCAGAGGGACTGGCCCAGAGAGAAGTGTTGAGAGACAGATAGAGGGTCGTTAATCTACTCTAAGGTTTGGCTTCCTCCAGAGTAAAAAGAAGATAGGCTCACTCTTCCGATTTGGCCAGGAGGCTTATATACAGTGATGATTGACAGGGTTGGTTGGTAACCAGTGAACACTGGTCACCCCCAGTCTTTTCTTCTGACTTTCTATTCAGGTAAAAATCATAGTCTTAGGAGCTAAACAGGCTCTCACATCTCTGTCTCTCAGTCTCAATGATATTTTCCTTCCTCCTCTTCTGTCAAAGCTTTGATGTAAGATGTTTAGCTAATTTTATTTTTGCTCACCAAGAGGATCTACCTTGGGGAATGTCCTGAGATCCCAGGATAGAATTTGAAGCACCATTTCCTACAGAATGTTAGTAAATGTTGGGTGTATACACCATGAGGACATTACCTAAAGAGTGTTCTGAGTCAGGCAGGCTCTCATGACATCCTAACAGAGTGTTCATTTTTGAGTATTTGAACAGAGGTTTTCAAGCAAGGAATTTAGCAGAAAGTAGAAATCATCTGTTTGTAATCTGGTGGCTGCTCATTCTCATGTATATGGCTGATGTAGGTAGATGTTGGCACAGGAAGCCTTGACAGAGTTACATGACTCACGCATAGTGTGAGGTTGGCCCCTGACCACTGTGCTGTTCTGACCACTCTATTTTGTAAAATGCAGGATCCAAGGTTTTTGGTTTTTGTTTTTGAGATAGGGTCTTTCTGTGTAGTCTAGGCTTGCCTTGAACCCACTGTGTACCCCACGCAAGCCTCAAACCCACAGTGGTCCTCCTGCCTCAGCCTCCCAAGTGCTGAGATTTTAGGGGTGTGCCCCATGCCCAGCTAGGATCCAGAGATGAATGGGATAGGAGAGTTAGAAGAGGCTTTACAGTATCTTACCCATGGGAACTCATTTCTGCCATGTGTGGGTGGCAGAACTGTCCCTATCGTAGGAAACTTTGTGGTGACTTTTTCTACTGCAAGAATCTACCACCTGTCACCATCTCCCCTCATTTTGCTCTCCTGCCACAAGTGTGCAAGCCACCCTTTTCCCAGGAAAGGGTGATTCTTTGTGGCTTTTTATGTCCCAGGGTCTAGGCATGTCCAACTTGGTGTCTTCCTACTGCACTGTCCCGTCCCCTCTGCATGAAGGGGAAAGGGAGCGTGGTCTTTAAAGTAATGCAAGAACCTGCTCATTATTTCACCTAGGAAAATGAGACACTGAATGAGCAACTAGTGGGAATCAGGCATTATACAAGTGCTATTGCAACTAGAGCTTGTGTGAGCCCCCGAACCCCTGTCACCACAACAAATCTGTAATGTCGGTGTTAATGTCATCCCCATTTGGAATTCTGGAAAGCCAGGTATTTGGAAAGTTTAGTGACTGGCAACTGTGAATCACCTAGCTACAGAGTCAGGCTTAAATACAATCATGTTGCAGCGCAGGCACTGAGTACTTTCCCTGCTGTGTAGGGTGTGATAGAGTATGCCTGCATGGGGCCCCAGCAGCTGGCACCTGTGCCTGGGACACACTACCCTTATAGGCACTTCATGGGGTACAGGAAGTGGGGCCAAGGATGCTAGCAGAGGCTCAGCACCAGCCCCTGTGACTGATGACAGCAGGGAAGACACGGCTCTCCCATCGGCCCAAGGTCTTGTTGACCCGTTTCCTGTGACAGCCATGTGCATCAGGAGCACAGTGAAGCTTCCAGGTCTAGTTTGACCTACAGAACAGCAGCATTTGCAAGGTGATGTAGTCCTCATTTTGCTGCAGAGAAAGCCAAGTCACACAGTTCCATTCCAGAAGAGGGCAGGCACGGTAGAGCCCCGAGTGCAACCCAGGTTTCATTCTCCCCATCTGGCGGGAAGCTTGAGGTCTCAAGCATTTACCCTCCAGGTGTAAACCACTTCAGCTACAGTGTTGGCGAAGGATGGCTTTTCCCCTTGGAGGAAATGGAAAATGACTGATTTGCCGTCCAGTGATGTATTATGTTTTTTCAGCTTTCTCTTCCTCAGGCTGCGTGTTCTCTATTTGTTTGTTTTAAAAGGTATGATTTCCTACATAGACTCAGTTCATGGCTCACCCACCCAAAAGACCCCTGATCTTTTGTTCCTTCCCATGTGCTAGACCAGTTCTGTGCATGTCTGCCTCGTACATCTGGGCTGTGGTTCTTTTTCTGCTCCCCTTTTCTTGTTATGGTGATTATACTCTTCTCAGGAGTTTACCCAGGTGAACCCACTTTATTGGCATAATCGGTGCTGGCCCAGAGTCTTTTCCAGCACTCAGCTTTCGTATGATCCTGGGTTTGTGTTCTTAGTTCCAGCCCCACTGCTGTCCCTACCTCCTGTCCTGTTGCTTCATGACTTAGACAACATGTGAAAACCATGGGTGACAGGGAAAGAGGCACCTGTGTTTTCATTCACTTGGAACAATGTGCTTTGCTTTTCAGGTACCCAAATAAGTTGCTTCTCCCCAAGTTCTTTCTCCTGGCGTCAGGCTGCCTTTGTGGATTCTTATTGCTGGGCAGCTGTGCAGCAGAAGGGCTCCCTGCAGAGCGAGTCTGGAAACCTCCCACTGTGGCTGCATAAGGTACTCTCCTGTTTGCTTGTAAATAACAAAGCTGTGCCCATACACAGTCACACAGATAGGTATGGCTCACTGTAGTCAGAGATGGGTGTGGCTGTACATTATACAACCATAGCACTTTCAAGTCAAAAGGAACCTCAGAGACTACTGTGGCACCTGTGTGTAGCAAATCTGAGAACAGGTATTCTTTGCATTTTACTCTGTAATAGAAGCCCCTTGTGTGTCTCCATCACCTTTGTGTCATTAATACCCAGCAGTGTCTGGCCCACGGTAGCTTCTCAGTACACTGGAAATGTATGTGTGATCCTCACAGAGCATAGCTCTTAGAGAAGTGGAGCTATCTAAGCATAGCTCCTCAGCTGCTACTTTTTGTACCACACACAGGGCCTGTTGGAAAAAGGACCAACAGAGAGTTCAGTTGTCTCTAGCTGGTGTGTTAGTAGAGCATCCAGAAGCCTAGTGATGCCTCCTTGCAGAGGTGCTAGCTTTAGCCCAAAGTTTAGAGTAAATTCCTTTGCGTTTGGATGAATCCAGATACTGCATAGACAAAGAGATGCTACGTACAACACATCAGTATCCAGGTTCTGTGTCATCCAGAGAAGAGGTGCAGGTCAGAACCTGTGGTCAAGGTACTGTTGTGAGGCTTGGGGATGCATAGAGTCTGGAAGTTAAGAAACTTGGGCTGGTATAGCAAGTTTGTAGAGAACATTCTCTGAGCAAGTGATGGTGTTAGATCTCTGTGCATCTGAAAGCAGACTTTGTTTCAGCCTGTCATTAATTTTAGCTGGTTGTTCTTTTTGTCTGTTGTATGTATATCTTTTTATAGTCTCATCTGTTGAAGAAAGCACAAAATTTTAACTTCTGAAAAGCCAAAGGCTGAAGTTTTATTTGACTCTTTCTTGATTTAAGCTGCTGCTGGATACCCCAGATAGTATTTTTCTTTTTAAAAAGAACAATTTTAGTTTGTTATGATTCAAGAATGTTTTTCTCTGTATTTGTTTATTGCATTCAGTTTGGCATAGTGATGCCCTATAGGCTTTTCACTTTGATTTTCAGCCTTAGGCCTGGGTGGGTCCTCACCAGATTTGCATGGTTTAGTAGCAAGGGCAACACGTTTTAAGAATCTGCAGCATGAACAGGCTCAGTTCCAGAAGTTGAACAGCTTTGTTTGTAAATCTCAATCTATGCTGTTGTAACTGAAGTCTGTGTGTTGTAATGTGGTTGTGGAAACACAAAAATGTTACTGCTCACTTGCCTGGGCATTGATAAAGCCACAGACAGATGTGTAATTGGGATGGTATAGTGCAAGAGTACAGGAGTGAGCTGGGTGTGGTGGCAAATGCCTGTAATTCCAGCACTAGGAAGGTTGAGGCAGGAAGATTGCTGCAAATTGAAGGCCAGCCTGGGCTACATAGTGAGTTCAAGGCCATCCTGGACTACATAGCAAGACCGTGCCTCAAAAACATCAACAACAAAAAAAAACATCTACAGGGATGTTAGCTATTGTGAAACTTTTGGAGAAAGAAGAAATGCCAAGATTCTTACCCAAATGGTGTCACACATAAGAATAGGGGAAGCTTGGGAGATCAGGCCATGGAGTCAGAGGACTGGCTGGCTATAGCTAGAACTCAGGTCTACAGACCCCTTCGCCTTTGTCCCCTAGTCCTGGCAGGGGGCGTGTGGGGAGTGTGGATGGCTATGCCTTAGGTTACCTGTACTGATGAAGGATTAAGAAGCTGTCTTTCTGGTGGTAGAAGACTAATTTCTTTAGATGGCAGTCTGGCTGAGCATCTGAGCAGAGCTCTAGCCAGATACATAGGACTGGGGACAGCAATTGAAACTGAGACTTGCCAAGTTGGTAGTGCTATAGTCAACACCCCTAGATTTTCATTGGGGAATATGAAAGGTCATTCTTTGGGAGTAAGAGGGTTCTGTAGAATTAAATTAGCCCTCACAGGGACTAGAGTCCTGGTATGAATCCATTTAGTACCAGTGGAATAAAGGAAATCTGACACTGCCTGTTTCTCTAGTCTACCTGCCTGTGGGAAACATATCTGAATCCTCCCTGGAGGAAGGTGACATCAGCTAGGTATGGGTGTCCAGCCTTTTGGCTTGCCTTGGTTGTAGTATGTGAAGAATTATCTTGGGCAAGCCAGGTGTGATGGCACACACCTGTAATCCCAGCACTTGTGAAGATGGGGCAGGAAGATCTCCATGAGTTTAAGGCCAGTCTGAACTACATAGCAACACCTTGTCTCAAAAAAAAAAAAGAATTATCTTGGGCCACATGGTACAAAATATAGTTAATGTGTATGATAACAAAACTGCCTTTACTTTAATATTTTTATTGTAACATGAGAAAGATTTTTTGGCTTTATTGTGTGTGATACACACAGGAGGCAGAGTCAACAGCACTGTTCAGGGCCCTTCTTAACAGTGATCCTTTGTCATCTACGCAGTTAACACTCCAGCACTGTGTAATTAAGTCATGAAAAATGCCACTAAAAGCCACATAATTATATTAAAAACCTACCGTCTGTTGGTACTGCATTGCCAGTGTGCAGGACTGCATGTGAGTCTGAGGTTGAACCTGCTTGGTTTGGAGCTTTGAATGCATTCTCTGTTTTTTCATGTACAGTTGTCATCAGCACTCACGCAGAAATACAGTACCAGGAAAAGCAAGGAAAAAATCAAAAGTGAAAATGGACCCGTGGAGATCTAGCTCAGACACCCATTTTAAAGAATCATTAATCATGTGTTCAAACAATTATGATAATATGGAGAATTTCACAGATAACTGGAAACTATACAAAATACTGCAATATAAAATTTCAAGCTGAAAACAGTAAATAACAGAAAATTCATTTTAGCCAATATTGAGGGTCCTCCTTACGCTAGGGCATGTGCTTGTCAGCAGAGAGCCCCAGACCACGGGTCTCTTCATGAAAGAGCTAGAGGGAGAACAAACACGAAAGAGATACGCAAGGGATGAATGGAGAGCGCGATGGATAAGGAGACTATGAAACCTCATCCTCATGCGCATCCTCGAAGCAAGGGAAGCAGCTGCCTGCAGAGCAGTGAGCTCTGTCACATTCTGCCACCAGGATCACAATAGAACCAAACTGACTGAGTTTAATGAAATCACTAGTGATGCTGGCAGGAGGGACTGTAGGAGAGAAGTAGGGGCCAGTTGGTGGTGGGTGAGGAGTGAGTGGGAGGTGAGAAAATGAAGATGATGAGAATAGACGATTTCTTTAAAAAATTTCCTTCCTTTACAGGAAATCTGTCTTTTGGTAAATGGAGGAATTAGTAGCAAGCAGGGTGCTAACTGGAAGGAAGATTGGAGTGCAGCAAGGCTTTATGAGTGTCCTGTACAAAGGCAAATGCTGATACAAGAGGTAGAGAAGAGGCTGGAGATGCAGGGCCTGAGAAGCACAAAGACACTGCCTGGGGAGGGTGTGCAACAGGTTCCAGGAGAGGCTTGTCCCCCTGGGGAGCAGCGGGCCTTCAACTGAGTGGAGGCCTAGGTTACAGAGGATCTGCGGAAACTAAGCAGGTAAATAGGCTCGGAGCTGGGCAGAGGAACTTGGTGGTCTAGGCATTAACCCTCAGTGGTGCTGTGTAGGAGGGAATGGAGGCAGGGAGAGTGTTACAGAGGGAGGACTGCAATTGGGGGACAGAAGGTAAGCAGACCTTTCTGAGAAAGCAAAGAACGAAAAAGCAATATTTGATGTCTTATTAGAAGAATACACTGAAAGGCAGTCAAAGGTCATAGCAATGCTTAAACCTGTGACCATCAACCTTTCTTGTGAAGAGCAAAGTGGTCTTGACACTGCAGGTCACAGCGTCACTTTTGTAGCTGCTCAACTCTGCTGCGGTGGGCAGCATATATATGGTAGGTTGTGGCCAGATTTGTCTCAGGGGCAGCAGTGTGGAGATACTCAAGGAGAAGACGGCCATGTCACCGCCAAGGCTGCACTGGGGGTGTGCTGCCACCAGCCACGGGCCACTGGAAGAGGCAAGAAGGGTCTTCCCTGGAGGCTTTAGAGATTAGGGCCCTGGTGAGACGTTCATTTTTGACTTTCAGTCTCCAGAACCATGAGAAAAACTTACTGTTTTAAGCCATCTAATTGAGAGGTTTGGTTATGATGGCCCTGGGAAATAAACACAAGTGGTTAGAGGGAAATCAAGATTCAGTCTGATGAAAAGTGAACTGTGCCAGATAGTAGTGTTGCTTTCTTAAGCCAGGCCAGTCAGTAATCAGGGCTTCTTTGTTGCTCTATTGATCTTTTTCAAGTTTTTCTCCTTCTCTCCCTCCCCTTCTGTTTCTTTCTTGGGCACATGTATAAAATATACCCAACAAAGTTTTACCTTTTAACTGGTTTTAGATATCCAGTTCTGTGGCATTTAGTACATTCACACTGCTGTGTAACCGTCACCATCACCAGCATCCATCTCCTGAGTTCTTTCATCTTCCCTAGAACTCCCCATTCGTGTAGCTCCTGGCAACGCCATTCTTTCTGTCCCTAAGAATCTGCCTACTTGAGACACCGCATATAAATAATCATACCTTTGCCCTTTTGAGTCTGTTATTTCTTTTAGGGTAATGGTTTCAGGGGCCATCCATATTGTAATATATATCAAGACTTCTTTCCTTTCCAAGGCTGAATAATATTCCATTATGAGTTTATACTGTTTTCCTCATCTATCCATCCATCCATCTATCCATCCATCCATCCATCCATCCAGAAACACTTGATTTGTTGCCCCTTCTGGGTATCATGAACGTTGTTGCTGTGAATATCTGTCTGCATCTGACCTTTCACTTCTGTGTATCTACTCAGGAGTGAAATTGCTGGATTCTTTTCTAATTTCGGAAGGGTTTTCCCTTTGTGGAGGTCATCATCCAGGCTCTTTGTTTTGCAGGAGTGACCTTGAAGAACAGAGCAGTAAAGTGCTTTTTCCAAGGTTCCCCCAAGCATGGAGCGTGAAAACACATAGCC